AAGGGTAGAACTACGCTCCTGGTTGATGAACGAATTGAAAAGAGGAGATTTTATGTGTCCAGAAATAGATTTTATGGGCAAAACTCACAATTAAGTGTCAGGCATTTATATAGATTAAATTGTACGGTACAGTATTTTCAAAATTTTTTATTCAGAAGAATGGGTGCTTGAAGTTTAGAAATTTTGAGGGTTGGTACTGATGAGGGAACAGTGAGATTTAAAATTTTGAAAACAAATTCAGGGAAATTAAATAATTTTAGTTAAATAAATAAATATTAGGTTAGTTTTAAGACACAGAACAAGGAGCATTAATTATATAATAATAATAATTTTTTATTTAAAAATAATAAAATTAATTTTTTATTTTAATTAATTTATTTATTTAAATAAAGAAAATAAAAGGGGAGGAAATTCCTCCCCTCAATCAAGACATACAGAAAATGAAAACGTCTTTGAAGCATTAAATATTTTTCAGTATTTTTTGTGTTTATTAATTTGTTTTTATCAATTTATAAAATCATTCATATCTACTTTTTAAATTTCATTTCAGAAGAAAAAAAAAAGGGTTTCTACAAAAAAGTGATAAATGGCAATTAGGAAAATAAAAATGAAAAAAAAAAAGGACCTCAAGATTTTTCCTTTACTTTTTCCGGAAAAAACCCACATATTACCCTTCAATTTTTTAAGTGTGTAAAACTCTACCCCTCACCTTACAATATATAATTTTATACCCTCATGATTTTCGAATTTATGATTTTATACCATAATAATATGCGAGTTTATGATGTCCTACCCTCTTAAAGCTATAAGATGATGGGTAAAGTTCCACATACTTAAATACTAAAAGGGTATAAAATCATATTAGAAGGGTATAAAATCACATATTATAAAGTGAAGTGTAAAAGTTTACACACTCAAAAAATTGAAGGGTAATCTCTGGGGTTTTGCCTCCTTTTTCCTCTTTCCTCTTTCTGTTTGCGAGCCCATCCCCAACAAATCGAATCATCAAGGTCCACTCTTCCCAAAAAAAAAAAAATAAAGTGCTAAGAATTATGCCTCTCCAACCTTCATCTGTGATTGCCTGCCATGTTAATCCCTCGCCGAGCTTCTCTTGCTCTCGGAACCTCCTTTTCAAAGCACCCCATCTTACCCTCATCAAAGCCCCAGAGTTTCAGAAGTTATCAGTCATATGCTTCGTTTCGCAAATCCATAGTTATGGGAGTGCCCCCCACGAGAGGAGTGGCATGAAAAAATGGTATGCTAACTACAAAAAAAAACTTTCGAGCAGGACGGACCTTGGAACTTTCCTAAATGAGTTGGAGAAAGGCGGGAGGAAGATAACGAAAGAAGAGCTTTGTAAGGTTGTCGAGGAATTGAGGAAGATCAATCTCCACAGGGATGCTCTTGAGGTAAAGATGCTAACTTGGTACTGTCTCTGATGATTTTGATATGTTTTGCTTTCTGGGTATTTCTTATTTCTGTTAGAAATTAATTGAATTACTCTGTAAATTGCTCAACAGTTAATTGGGTAGCCTGGTCTTCAGTCTCAATGCAATTTTGATTAATTAGTTAAGTGTTATAGGAATTGGTCCCCTCACAATTTCTGCAAGGTTTAGAATAATTATTAGTTAATATATCAGAATCAGATTCAGGTAGCTGTAATCACTCAGGCCAAAGGTCCGGATGCCCATGTTATCCAAAAAAAAAAAATTCAGGTGGCTGCATGCAATCTGTTTGCTATCAGATTCATGGTAAAATTTCTCATTTCTATGTTTCGGTTGGGTAGAGTGGAACTGGAAGGTATTAATCTTACATCATCAGACACTTGAGTTGCTACATAGAAATTTAATTTGTTTATTCTGGTGCTCAGATAAGTGTAATAATTTTTTTAACTAGAGTCACGCCTTGCATCCTTAAACTTGCTTTATGATATCTTATCATATAATCTTCAAAGCTAGAGCAGGGCTCATTATCAGTTTTAAGATTTGTTTTATCAACATATGGCAGGTCTATGATTGGATGAACAATAGAGGTGAGAGGTTTAGATTATCTGCCAGTGATGCTGCCATTCAGTTAGAGCTTATTGTTAAAGCACGTGGAGTTTCGAGTGCTGAAGTTTTTTTCCTTAAGTTGCCGGAGACATTGAAGGACAGGGAGACATATGGGGCTCTTCTAAATGCCTATGTGCATGCTAAGATGAGATACGAGGCAGAATCTTTATTTGAAAAAATGAGGGACAGAGGTTACACTGCACAACCATTTACATTTAATGTGATGATGACACTTTATATGAATCTCAAGGAATATAATACAGTTGGCTCCATGGTTCAGGAAATGAAGCAGAAAAAGATACCGCTGGACTTGTATTCCTACAACATCTGGTTGTCCTCCCTTGGATCTCAGGGATGTGTAGAAAAGATGGAGCAAGTATGTGAAGAGATGAAAGCGAATCAGAGCATCAATCCACATTGGACTACATTCAGCACATTGGCAACAACGTATATCAAGATGGGGCTGCTTGAAAAGGCTGAAGAGTGTTTGAGAAAGTTTGAGAGTTTGATAATCACTGGTGGAAATCAAACACCTTATCATTATCTTATAAGACTGTATGGTACCATTGGTAACAAAGAGGAGGTATATCGAACTTGGAAGGTCTACAAATCTATTTTTCCCAGTATTCAGGTTATGGGTTATTATGATGTGATCTCATCCCTGGTTAGAGTTGGAGATATTGAAGGGGCAGAAAACATTTATGTGGAATGGCAGTCAGTTAAATCAGCTTATGATATAGGAATAGTAAATCTTATGATGAGTGCATATGTTAGAAAAGGAAATATGGACAGAGTTGAGAGTCTATTTAATCAGATGGTTGAAGCTGGAGGAAAGCCAAATCCAAGTTCATGGATGATTCTTGCTGAAGGGCATATCAAAGAAAAGAGGATTTCTGAGGCTTTATCTTGCATGAAAAAGGCATTTGCAATTAAACGCTTAAGTAGTTGGACACCCGATCATGGAACTATTTCTGCCTTCCTTGATCTCTGTGAAGAAGAAGCCAATACTGCAAGTAAGGAAGTTTTGGTGGCATTATTGAGGCGATCAGGAATTCTCAAAATAAAATCTTATGCCTCACTCGTTGGCTTATCTGATGAAGCAGTCAGGGACAATGAACTGTTAAGAGGTAAAGATAGAAGTGATAGTAAAGGTGGCTGTGAAATTGAAAGGCTTATGCATCGCTCATTGGCTTATCTGATGAAGCAGTCACTGAAGATGAATTATTAAAGGGTCAAAGATAAAGTGATAGAAACAGTGACAATGATGAGGATGAGAAGGATGCTTTTGAATTTCTTTTTGGCCAACTGCAGAACAGTGCGTGATATGGTTACTGCTGCTTTCTTCTTAAAGTGTATTCATATTGTTATTAATCTTAGTTGAAGAGAAATCTGTTACACAAAACAGGTATCTTAGGTTCAGAGCCAGGAAAATCCATTTAGTGAGAATCAGGATGTGCAAGTCTTCATATGTGGGTTTGATGATGAAAACCCTTCTTCTTTTATCTCCTGTTAATGATTCAGATTTTTTGTCAATTTTCATACAGGTCTCCATAGCTGTTAGAACTTTATTTACACCGCATTTATGGAATAAATGTGAATCATATCACAGTTTTATTACCCAATTGTGACTCTTTATTCAAGTTTTTATATAATCTTTTATCAGATTGGTTTTTTTATACGTACCAATTTTCAGACAGGTCTCCATAGCTGTCACAACACAATTCCTTTGCTAATCAATTTGCTTTATCAGCTAATGTGATTGAAAGCACGCCCTTTTTTTCTTGTGATTTCTCTTTGACAATGACTTTACACCATTACTTTGCATTGGATTCAACAAGCTTCACAAACTTTCTTATCTTTTTTTTTTTTCTAATAATAATAATAATAATAATAATTCTCCGAGCTGCAAAAGACAAATTTAGACCTTCCTCGGTGGGTGAATAATTTTTTCTCAAGAATTTTTTTTAAAAAAAAGGAAGAAAATGCCACACATATCCCTCAACTTGCATGTCCATGTGTTAAAGCTTTTCAAGGTGATGTGTAGTGACATCGTTAGTAGATTATCCAAAATCTTAGGATTATGAATGGTTTAATTTAATAAAAGTAGTAAAATAAACGTCTTTTTAGTTTAGATAGAAATAATTCAGTTCTATTAAAATAAAATTTTAAATTTAATTCTTGTGAATAAAAAAATAAATACTGTAAGAATTTTTCTTTATGAGATTTGACGTAGTTTGACGCCTAACTTTAAATTGGTCATTGAGAGTTTAATACCAAAAATAAAAAAGCTAAAGGGAGGCTCATCACCATAGATTAAGGGGGAAACATGTGGGTTGGCTTTGATTTTTGTAATTTATATTTTTTATTTATAATGTTTAGTAAATAAAGTAAAATTAAATTTTTATTTTTTATTTTTTGATAGCAAATTATGATGGTAGGAGGAGAGAGACCTCACATGTACACCACATGGGGCTGGAGAGGTGCCTACTACAGAGCAGAGACAGCTTTTAACAAGGAATTGCTAGAACTCTGAAACAAGACATACTTTTGCTCATGTTTCACTCCAACAATAACATGCCTCCAGCTTGGCAATGTCTTCCTCCTATTCTCCAAATTCACCTTTTTAAAATTTGCTGAGGTAATCCAAAATTAACATAGATTCACCGAGAAAATGGAGTCCTAATCTCTAAATCTATCATGGAGTTAATAGTTTGAATACTCATATTAAAAAAAAAAAAAAAACAGAGTTTGTAATAATTAAAAGTTTATTTTTTTTTACAATTTAAATTATTTTAAATTATAAAATAAGAACTTTTAAATGAAAAAGATTCAGAAGACCTTTACTTATTCAAAAATTAATATTTTGCCGTCTAAAATAATTTATACTGTAAAATAATTTTTAAAATAATTAAGCATCCTAATTTTCTGGTTTACTCAAAGAAGTGATCTTTAGTTTGTAGATTGTCACCAAACATAGTTAATTATTTTGAGTATGATAAAGTGGGGGCTAAAGACAAATTACAGTCTAATTGTCACCAGCAAGTGACTTCTTGCTGTAAAGTCAAGCAACTTCTTTGAGTATTTTTTTTTTTTTCTCTTTTTCAACTCTGTTGAAATAATAGGATAATCCCATGAATATGCCAGTGGAATGCTCCTTTCTATGAGTTGGCCAAAACAACACACACTTCAACCCCCTAAATTAATTTTAGTATAAACAAAAGGGTTATCGTATCCCATGGGTAATGCTTGTTTGTGGGTCAAATCAAATATAAAACTCTAATCTGAATTTGCAAGTTTTGAGTGCTTCTTTTTTTTTAATAAATTTCTGAAAATCAGGAAATAAAATGGAACCCCAATAAATTGAAAATGAACCATACCGGACACCACAAAAGAAAAAACCCCCTAACAACTGGTTCTCCAATCAAAAAAATCAAAATCAAAAACTTAATTAAAAAAACTAAACTCATTCCACCCAAACTAACAGATCATTAATAAGTTTTAAGTACTTTGATCACCAGCACCAACTTCTCTAGGAACTTCATTAATTTCATCCAGAAAACACAACTAATTAATTAACCCAAATTCTACTCTATCAATTGTAATAATATCTTAATATATATTTCACAGATGATCAATGATCAAAAAGTCAGTTCATCACATTCTTGTTGTTTGTTGCTATTATGTCTCTGTGGACATATGCCAAGAATATCTTGGGATGAAACCCGGGTCACATGATCCGAGCTTGAATCCAATCCCATGCTATCATGATCTATAATTTTAATATTCTTTGTTTTAGGGGAAAATTAGCAGAACAGCAAATTCAATTAGATGTAAGATATATATTGCCATGGACCAACATAACAGATCTATGTTCTGTCACCAGATGGTATACGATTCACAACACATGCAAAGATCTCTTGAGACGAAGAAGAAGAAGAAGAAGAAGAAAAGGACCCACAAGTTCCAATCGAAACCAAAATTTCCACCACATGTAATCACATGATGGGTATGCCATTCCATCACAATTGTCTCTAGCAAATCACTTGAAAACAGACAATATTAGAATTATAATATTAGATAAAATTATAATTTTATAATTATATTATAGCATTAAATAAATAAATATAAATAATATTTTGAGTGAATTGTTAAATAAAAAATTAATTATATAATAATATATTATATTATAAATTTATAATGTTATATGATATACTAATCATTGATAAATAGGTAATCAATTAAGAATTATTTTTCAATCAACATAGTTTAATTTTAATGTTAGATAATATTATAATTATAGCATTTTTGTTTAAAAATTATCTCGATATTTTCCTTTAGAAATTCTATAATTTTATTCTTTGATGGATTTGTATACCGACTTTTTTGAATTGAAATCACACATTTTCAGTTTGATCAAACAGAAATTGCTTATGCTAAAAGAGGAATATTCGCCACTAATTTCCCAAATGAAATCACTCTTTTATTCCCTCTCCTCCAAGTCAATTTTTGAAATCTAAACAATGATAATCCCACTCAAAAACCAAAACTTTTGTTTTTCCCCTTTCTTAAGCCGAAAAGGACCAAAAAGAAGAAAAAAAAAAAACCCTACCCGACACTGATAGGGACATGAAAATCACAATTCAAATTCTTGAGGGGTATTCTGTTCATCAATAATAGCTACCATTTAACGACCAACTTTCCCCGTTTTATATATTATATAATAACACACAAAAATCTGAAGTCCATATAAACCTCAGCAGAAGCAGAGCTCCAAGAGGGCAACCATGGCGGAGCTCGAGAACACAAATGCGATGCCCAAGCTCATCAATTTCCTCTCTTCTCTTCTTCAAAGGGTATCGGAATCCAACGACGTTGCCTACCAGTTCCACCCTCAGAAAATCTCGGTGTTCCACGGCCTCACTCGGCCGACGATTTCGATTCAGAGCTACCTCGAGAGGATTTTCAAGTACGCCAATTGCAGCCCGTCGTGCTTCATCGTCGCCTACGTTTATCTTGATCGGTTTGCCCAACGGCAGCCCTCTTTACCCATTAATTCTTTCAACGTTCACCGATTGCTTATCACCAGCGTCATGGTGGCGGCGAAGTTCATGGATGATATGTGAGTTAATTTCCCCACTTTGGCCATTTTAGTTTGAATTGTCAGAAGTTCTTGACTTAATTTTTCCTGGGTTTGGAGGGCTTTTTTTTTTTTTTGCCCCAGGCAAAATATATGACTTAATTTTCACTGATTTTCTTTCAAATTATCTAGAATTTACAGTAAGCTTAGTCTATAATACTATAAAAACCCATATATCTTTCATGGGTTTCGAAAAAATTCCTGCCTTTTTCTTTCTTTTTTAGCGTTGAAATAAGGGTGATTATATTTGAAGATGTTTGGATTGTAAGAAAGTACTTATTTTCCCAGAAAAACACATTGCCATCTTGGTAAATTTCCTTCTTTTCGTTTCTGGTCCTTACTTTGGAATCTATGTTTCAGGTACTACAACAATGCTTACTATGCAAAAGTTGGAGGAATCAGCACAACAGAGATGAATTTTCTAGAGGTGGATTTTCTGTTTGCTCTGGAATTCCACTTGAATGTTACACCCAACACTTTCCACTCCTACTACTCCTACCTGCAAAGAGAGATGATGTTGCAACCTCCACCCGTGCCAGAATCCTCTCTAACCCTTGAAAAGTCACTAAAGCTTCACTTGTGCTTCAATGAAGATGAATCCTCCCATCAAAAGCAACAACAGCTAGCAGTTTAATCTCTAAAATATAGTTTTAGATACAAAGATTGAAACTCATGACTGAGTGCACCCAACCCACTTGTTGTCTCTTCCTTTTGGGGTTTTTCTTTTTTGGATCTGAAATTGTTTAGGTGTATGTACAGATAGTAGTTTGCTCTTTACAGTCTGGCCATGGAGTTCTCTTATTTACTGTGAACCTGAATTTTCTGAATTTGATGCTCCTTTTCCTGTTTTGGTTGATACTTTATGTCTTATCCATGTTAGGATTTTCATAGCTTTTGGGGAGTGCCACTGAAAGGAAAAGTGCAGAGCAGAGGTGGAAATGGGTTCATAATTTGGGAGATTAAGAATATGAGTGGTGTTGTGAATTTTGGTATGGTGATTTTTGGCAGGGATTGTATCTGACAGTTGTCTTGATTTTCTTGGAGGGGACATGGAACATGTGCAATCATATTGCAACTGGAGTCACCAGGGCCAACTTGGCCTTGTGGGTGATGTAATAACCCAAAAGGACTAATTGACCCTGCCAGGTTGACTATTAAATTCTGTATTTACATTTTCTTTTCCAGATCCAGCTTGTACTAACACCTTAATTAACTCTATAATTTAGAGAGATTAAAAAAATGAGATAATTACAATTCTATGTGATAGTATAAGTATATAGTATAATGTATTATTATATAAT